TTCATGCATTTACTAATTATTTGAGCTATAAGACCCTCAAATTGAAAAGCACTACAAATAAATTCTGAAAAGGTTGAAAGTTGGCATGGTATCATCATTTCACCCACATAGCATGTGCAAGAAAGTAGAGAGGCTTACGGCAAAAACTGGATGCACTTCGTGTACAAAACGGACAATCTCTTTGGAAGTATCAGGGTTTCATACGGAAACTCGTCTATTACAATGGGATTTCATTTTTCTGAACTTATTTGAACTCCATAGTTTTTCTGTGTTCAAAATGCACCATTCAAAGCCACATCATCAATTTTCAACCATTTCTGACTTAATTTGTTATTTTTCATGCATTTACTGATTTTTTTTCAGCTATAAGAATCTCAAATTGAAAAGCACAACAAATGAACTCTGAAAAGGTTGAAAGTTGGCACGATATCATCATTTCACCCACATAGCATGTGCAAGAAAGTAGAGAGGCTTAGGGCAAAAACTGGATGCACTTCGTGTACAAAACGGACAATCTCTTTCGAAGTATCAGGGTTTCATACGGAAACTCGTCTGTTACAAAGGGATTTCATTTTTTGGAACTTATTTGAACTTCATAGTTTTTTTGTGCTCAAAATGCACAATTCAAAGCCACATCATCAATTTTCAACCCTTTCTGACTTCATTTGTTATTTTTCATGCATTTACTGATTATTTTCAGCTGGATAGTGATAAGTGACCAAATTAATAGTAGTTCATCATCACATTAAAACCAAAGTACATACATAGTTCAAATTGAACAACATATAGCTCTCCAGAGCATCTAGTTAAACCATATATTGAAACTATGTAAAACCTTTCAATGCAACAACAAATGCGATCATAATCACAACTAAGGTAACAATTGATCCAATGTCATAATGATACCAAGCCTCGGTATGAATGGCATATTTTCTAATCTTTCTAATCTTCAATCGCATTGCATCCATCTTGATATTGTGATCATCGACGACATCCGCAACATGCAACTCCAATATCATCTGCTCCTCCTCAATTTTTTTAATTTTTTCCTTCAAGTAATTGTTTTCTTCTTCGACTAAATTTAACCTCTCGACAATAGGGTCGGTTGGAATTTCCGGTTCAACCACCTCCTACATAAAAAAAATCTATGTCACGTTGGTCGGCATAATTGTCATAAACAATAAATGAACCAAATAGTTATAAAAAGATAATATATACCACATCCGAATCATAGACAGGACGAGGGCCGACAGGGGCGGATGCCAGAACCATCGCACTATATAATAACAAGGAATAATAAAAGTAAGAAAATTAGACAAGTATCCATCTCAAGTAAGAATTTTTTTCCTTTCAGAAAGAAGATAAGAACAAGAGGCTCACCACGGTGGTGCCGGCGATGAGATCGGCGCGGGCGATCGACGGCGGTGAAGATGGGGAAGGGGCGTGACGGACCGCTAAACCTAGAAAAATCTCGGGGAAAATGGAGCTCCGAGGTCGAGTTTCAAGAGAAGAAATATTAACTAGTGTGGCTCGGACATTTCATCGAACACCTCATGTGCATAGGAGGTGAGCTAGAGCACCCAAATGCCCTCCCCTCGCCGGCCAGCAAAAAACAGAGCACGGTGGAGTGCTCTGCTCGCTGGCGATGGGCTATATATAGGCAAATCATTTGTCCCGGTTCGTGGCTGGAACCGGGACCAATGGTTATGGGCCAGGAGTGAGGCCCATTGGTCCCGGTTCGTTCTTAGAACCGGGACAAATGGGTCCAGACTGAACCGGGACCAAAGCCCGCGAGGCCCCGGGCGGCCTCCTGGGCTCACGAACCGAGACGAATGCACCCATTGGTCCCGGTTCGTATAAGAACTGGGACTAATGGGCTGGCCAGGCCCGAATGAAAGCCCCTTTTTCTACTAGTGTGATAATAACAAGAAAATCTGGAAGATGAAGATACCTCTTAAGAATAAAATATTTGCATGGTATCTTCGTCGCGGAATTAATGTGTCCCGCGTAGTAAGATGAATTGGCATGGGAGTATTAATGTGTCCCGCGTGATGAGACAATAAAACATTTGTCCAATGTAAATTGGCTCGTTCTATATGGTCAGTCATCCAGGTAGCTAGTCGCTTATATCCTCCTTGTAGTGTCGCTAATATACTGAGCAACTAGTTACATGTGATTTATCATAGGTTTAGAACTCTTCTCAGGGTGGGAGCGCATGCCGTTATTTGGTCGCTTTGGCTATGTAAAGATGAATAAGGTTTTAACGATAAAACTACTTCTCTTATGTAGGTCCTCTATACAACGCCTGGATAATCTAGACCTGTTTACAGAGGTGTTTACACGATTGAAGGCTACGGCGAGGGATACTTTTACCCAACATGGGCGGGGACTGTACATGTTTGTTTGTATTTTTGCCGTTTTACTTTTCTTTTGTGTCGGAGGACATTGTTTGGCTCTCTGCATCTTAGTTATGCTGAGACCAGATGTAATGCTTTAATCTGTTAAGTAATAAAGCGCCTCTTTTCAAAAAAGAACTCTACATTAATCAATATAGTGGAGAGTATTTAGCCTCAAAAACTAACATATTATTTAACAATAAAAAGTGCACATGCATTGAAAACTAAAATATTCATGTACTTATAAAAAGTGTTCTCACATTTTGGAAATGTTCATGTATTTTTTAAAGTATTTGCATGTATAAAAAATATTCATCGTGTATTAAAATAAATTCAATATGATTTTAAAAAATGTTCACCACGTCATCATGTACTGAAAAAAAATCAACATTATTTGGAAAAAGTTCATGGTGTATCTAAAAATGAAGAACATGTATTTGTAAAATGTTCAACATGTATTTGGAAAATGTTTGATGTGTGTTTGGGAAAAGTACATATTTATGAAGAAAAATCACTACATTTAAATTTATTTTACATTTCATTTAAAAAATAATGCAAAGTAAAACAAAAAAATAAAACAAAAAAGGGAAAGAATAAAAGATACAAATAAATGAAATCATAAGGAGTAAAAGAAAATAATAATAGGGAAAAAAGAGATAAACAAGAAAAAGAATCAAGAAAAAACTAGAAAAACAGGAAACAAGGATAAAGATAAAGATAAAAAATAAAAGGAAAATTATACAAAAACCAGGTTCCAAATAATACAGTGGAAAACCTAGAAACAAAGATAAAGATAAAAAATAGAAAGAAAAAAGAAAATCAGACAAAAACCAGGTTGCAAATAATACAGTGGAAAACCAATCATTCTGAAGAAATCACAGGAAACCAGCTGTAACGTAAGGAATGTATCAACCAGGTTGCAATATTTTTTGTCAAAAACAAGTAATCATACAAGAATACACAGGGATTTATCTCGGACCAAAAAAGAAACTAACACCTAATGGAATACGACATAAGGCTCAAGCAGTTCCAATATTATTCCATAAAAAGCACTACCATCTGAGAGAATAAGCATACAAGATGGTAAAAACAGAAGTGCACCGTATGTTGGGGAAATACAATTCCATTGTTTTGTTGGCTCAAATACAGGAAGAAAAGCAGGTAAACTAACCTAGTTGGCCCAAATACATCAATAAATAAATAACAAAAGGAGGATTTAACCAAAAACAATGACTTGTACGTTTGTACCTAGGAACGCATTACTGCCGCCACCATTTATAAGCATCAAAAGAAAATACTCCAGGAAACAAGGGAAGGGCTCTCTCAAGAAAATCGGAAGACAGAATCTAAATCATCATCTTCATTTGTATATATGGAAGTTGCAGCCAGTAATGGATCGATAACAACAGAAACATGCCATGCCATGGCAGCAGCATGGTCAGCACGCATGCACTGGGATTGATTCTAAATGAGCCATTGAGAACCTTATAAACGACTATACAAAACCTTATAAACGACTATATACACAACCTTATAATTAAATGGCCATCTGCTCACAATCCAGCATGGCAAAAATAGACAACAAGGGACGGCCGTTGGAGAGTAACTTGTGTTGTCTTTCCATTCACTGGGCACATTGATCATGTCCTGAAGCAACTGACCAGGCACACTCGGTACCTAGTGATTTGCGCAGGCAGGCCCAAGATGTATGCTATCTGGAGAGAGTAACCACATTAGCAAGTATAGAAGTAAAAGTAGTAACACGATAGATAAATTGCATACATGAATGAATGAAGCATTGCCACAAAAAAAGTCGCTCTGTTGAAATTAGTAATCTTACATGGTTCCTCTCCTCGAGGCCCTGGAGTCACGTTCAATTCCTTTCTAACTCACAACGGTAACAGTAGAAGTAGTACAACATTAGTCAGTCAGCTACTGGAGAGCTCCTCCGTCATCAAAATACGCTCCTTGAGAATCCCAGCGAGAACTTGGTCTCAAAGAAACTGCTCCTTGGAATTGCCCACTTCCTTAAGCTCTGCCTCATTTTTGCAAGGTTCAGCAACCCGGAACAGCGATGTAAGCCTGCGCGCATGATTGACAAATAATAGTCATGTGGATGTCAGCTGGATGTTATAGCACGATGAAAATTGACTTACCTAAAGAGAAGAAAACCAATAAGAAGTTGCATTCCAGTGACGCATAGTTGTTTGATGCAAGTTCAATTTCTAAAAGTTGACAAGATTAGCTACAACTAATACTGCATCTTATAAAGATAACAACTGCAGTATATATGCTTCTGCCCTTGAACTGTACCGAAAGAAACAAATGTTCTAATGTAACACTTGAAAAAGAAGGCCCCAGGCTGCATACCTTCTCTGCAGCAGGGATAGAACACCGGGAGCAAAAATGGAGAGGTGGGCGGTAACAATGGCCTCAGAGAAGATGCTGAGGAAGCCGGGGTCGTCGGTGCCCACCTCCACCTCCAAAGGGCAGAGGGCGTCCGGCGTCGAGATGGAATTACCCAGCTGTAATATCCCAGTTCCTCTCACTTGGCCAAGGGTTCCCCAGTTCTGCATAAGAGACCAACAATTTTGTACAAACAGCTCAGTTGAATTCGACTTTGGGGATGTGACAAATCTTGTGGGCATCCTCCCCTTGGCACCTCGCAATTAGACTCGGACATCGAACAATTCTCAGTAGCTTCAAAGCAGAGAGATTCTTTATGCTTTCAGGCAAACATGTCAGGCTGGGACAATCTCTGATGAAAAGTTCTTCTAGAGAAGTCAACTGTCCCAACCATTCCGGTAATATCTCCCGGCCTTTGCACTGTAGCAACCTCAGTTTTCTAAGAGCGGTGAGATTCTTCATGCTTTCGGGCAGAGATGTCAGCTTAGGGCAATTGTGGATGTGAAAGAGTTCTAGAGAACTGAGCTGACCCAACCATACCGGGAGTGTCTCCAGGTCATTCAATGACACCAACCATAGTCCTGTGAGAGAAGTGAAGCACCGCATGACCTCTGGCAAAGTCCTCAAGCCACTGATGGAGTATACACAAAAATTCTCCAGGGTGGTAAAGTGTTGAAAACTATCCCACCTGTCTTGAGAGAAACTACAGCTCTTCAGAACGATCTCAGAAGGATGAATATAAGAGGAGAGGTTTCCAAATCCTCGTTCTGGCAAAACTGCGTCGCTGTTGCTCAAACCCCAATTCATACTTCTTGAGGGATATGGTAGGAACTTCAACTTTGGACAGTCCACTACAAACAAAAAATGCAAATTGGGGATTAAGAACTCTTTGTTTTCTTCACCTGTCTCTGTTGTCCACCATTCCACCAAATTCTTCATCAACTTCAGCGTCAGTACTCTTAGTTTCATACAAGGTCTGCCCTCTCCATAGAATTCCTTACCGATTTTCTTAATATTGGGAATGTTTTTCAGACACAACATTCTTAAATTTGGCAGTGCCCCGAATGGAGGAAGAGAATCACATGCTTCCAAACCATTAAGAGTCAGTTCGCTGAGAAAGGGGAGATAGGACGAGATGTGAAACATCCAGTTAGGGAAATCCTTGCTGCTATACCCGAGTAGCTGAAAGTGTTCAAGAGTCCGAGGAGGTACTAGCCTGTCCAGCACTGATTTACCTTCTTGGTTTTCCCAGAGAAGTTTAAGCAATCGAATATCCGATTTATCACGCAGTCTGACTCTGTCTGCATCTTCTGGATGCCTGACATTTTGAAGCCCTGCAAGTATCAGCTCTGAACAAGTCAATCCCACAAGGTCCACTATACTGCTACATCCTCTGCTCTCTATCTCATGTATGTCATGCCTTACTGTGCCCACGAGATTTAGACGCTTTTGAATGGCTGGAATCTTCTCAAGCAGCTTAGAAGTTGCAGTATCAATCACAAACTGAGTGAGACTGGTCATGTCACCAATGCTATCAGGGCAGTCATACATATATAGAAGGCCATTCATGTGCAGTATTTGAAGCTTAAGGTCACCAAATGAGGAGGGGAGCTCACTGAGCCTCAGACAGTACGACAAATAGAGACACCTCAGCTTAAACAATTTGCATACTGACTCAGGCAATCCTCGGAGTTTAGGACAACTTGTTAGGTTCAAATACTGAAGCTCGATGAGGTCACCAAAACAGTCAGGGAGTTTTTCAAGGTTATGACAATCTGAAAGATCTAGGTACTTCAAATGATTAAGTTGGCAAAATGACCCTGGCAGCATTAAAACCTTGTAGCAACCAGAGAGGTTCAAGAACTCAAGTTTCTGAAGGTGGCCAAAATCAATTGGCAGGTTTTCTAGCTCATGGCAACTCAATAGGTTCAGATGCTCTAAACACGGAAGGCTTATATTGTCAGGTAGTTTGGTGAGCTTTGAACAACTTGACAAGTTTAAGAAGGAGAGTTTAGGAAGGCTACCAAATTTATCAGGGAGCTTTTGAAGAGCACAACAATCTGACATGTTTAGGTGGTGTAAGCATGTAAGCTCACAGATTGATTCAGGCAACTCTTGGAGTATAAAACACCCGGATAGATTGAGAAAAAAGAGTTGAGAGAGCTCCCCTAGTGATGCTGGCAGCTTACTGAGCCTGTTATTGCCAGATAGGTCCAAATAGCAAAGTTTGCCGAGGCGACAAATAATGTCAGGTAAGGTTTCAAGCAAGGAATTTGATAGAATAAGAGTTTCCATGTTTTGTAGTGTATGAAAATTCTTAGGAAGTGATGCTATTGGCAAGCCTGTGGCATCAAGATACCGAATTAGCTTCAATTGACTAATGGAAGATGGCAGCACCACGCTACTTGGAGCTGATTGGCCTTTAGCTGAATGTCCACTTAGGTCCAAGACACGTATGTACTTGCACCGAGAAAATGCCTTTTTCGGGAGTTGCATTCCCCCAAAATCCCTAAAATGGAGGGATCTAAGTTTGCCTGGAATATATTTGAAAACCTTAGGATCATTCTTCAAGTTGGTTAACTGTGCATGCCGGTAGTAATGAGGTGTGTTCCAGCTTGTGCTTTTGGTAGCATCGAGATTAATGAAGTCATCAACAACAATTCTTGACACAAGATCATGCACCAAATCATGCATGACGAGTTCTGGAGGAGTTTTGAAATGCAATGCACTTGGACTAACCTGCAGAGGTAACTACTATCAATATATTATCGTAAGGAGAAACATAAAACAGCGACAATATAGCAAAGTAAGAACATAAAATTGAAACTTCCTGAAACTCTGTGGAGCCTTTTACCAAGAACTTTCCTACACAAATTTTTAACTACAAACTATGGATTTTCATATAAAAATATGAAGTTTGGCTAACTAACAGAGCAAGTAGAGCATATGTTGCATACAAGGAAGGCTAACTAACAGAGCAAGTAGAGCATATGTTGCATACAAGGAATGGTAGTACATACATATCTTTGTAGATATGTTTTTGTAAATTGTTTGAATTTCTTTGGATGTCAAGATTGACTTGTTTACTAACAAGTTCAATAAGTTTCAACTAATTTGAAACTATACATAGCTTGCTTACTAACTAGAAATTATGAATATGAGTGATTATTAAAGGAATCGCTCCTATGCCGCTCCCTGGGTGGCACTGGAGTGCTG